TATTTTTTTTTTTTTTTTATAATATTAAAAATATGGTGAGCATCGACCCAAATCTATTTAATGGTAGAGTGTTTAGGAAATCTAGTTGTCTTTTAATGGTCACTGCACTAAAATATCTGATAGCTGAATACCAGCTAATATAGCTAATATAGACTCAGTATCAATTATCCCAGAGAATCATATAATAAACCTCAATAACAGCAGGCAGAAATACTTACTAATAACAGCAGATAAAAATACACTGATACTACACCATAAATTCAAACATTATAGCAATCTAACTATTCTAAAACACCACAGAGTTAAATGCGCTTTTCTTTGTTCACAGAGCAAAAGCAGAACCTGTAAATAGCAGCTTGACCAAACCCAGCAGAGCACAACAAACCAGCACAGAATCAGGGATCCAGCTACTGCTCAAGGTGTGTGTGGATACTAAATGATGTCAATATATAAATAATGTTTTGCTTAGGAAATTATGTTGTATTGGACATAATATGGTAACCCAACACAGTTCCAAAACTATTCATTACACAAAAATGTTGTTAAAAATATCTAATTAAAATTGCCATAAACTTCATAGGCCCAACAAAATGAAAAATTATTACATTCACAATTTACACGAATTAATTTAGCAAACACGTTTAACTAAAACAACTTGCAATAGAGGAATACAAGTGATCCATTTTAAGGAGGCGTAGGCTGAATAGTAAAACCACTGATCTATAATAGATAATATAATATAGATCAGATCAGTGAGTAAAACTGACCATTTCAAAAAAAATTAAAAATTGAGTCACATTTGTCTTTTATGTTTGGTCATTTTTTTGTTGATTTTTTAGGATGCCAATGTCACACAACCTCTCCATGTTGGTATCATGACTTGCTTCTGCTTCTGTCTTTTTAAGAGCCTGTTTAAAGACGTTTATTCATGTTTTTATGAGGAAAAAAAATTGTTGCACAATTTTGCGTCACGAAGCGGTTAGAGGATAGAGAATATCAATCATTAGCTTAGTGTAAAAACAATAGACCTGAATGTAAAGTCCAAACGTGTGCGTGAGTGTGCATATGTTTAAATGTGATTTGACATGAATGTGCATATATGTGAGAAAACGCACATGTATGTGTGTATGACTTTAATAATAAGAGCAGCAATAATAATAAGACCATGGGTGTGTGTAGTTGGACAGGCTAGGCTCCCCTGAGCAGATGGTTTAGAGCCTGGGCAGAGAATTAAACGGTGTCACAGTCTCAGATGAGTCCAAGCAGGACAGCGGTTCTGATCAGTCAGCTGACGACACCAGGGGCCAAACAGATGACTCGGACTCAGGCAGTGCGGAGGAGGACATGGGCCTTTACAGATCACATATGAGCAATGCAGAGACAACAGTAGCAGACAGACTCCGAGAGCTTCAACTGCACAGAGCAATGAAAGAGCATCTGTCAATCAACAACAAGACACACCCACACCAGACAAAGGTAAGAGCACAGAAGTAGAATCTCAATTAATCCCAGGTATTCTTTCAACAATATACAACAAAAACACCTATTTTATGTTTATAATGCTTTATTCATCATTTATTAGTGCCAAAACTAGAGCATATATATATATATATATATATATATGGCCCCTAGTTCTTTCAGCAATATACTACTATATATATATACCAAGAGGTCAAACTAAACTTTTATTATCTATTAATTTCATCTGTTTATCTATTCATTCAGTTTGTAATATTTTTTTCTGTGTTTGAGGTTACATTTTTTCATATATATTATATATTTACATATTACATATATTTAATATATCATATTTCTATCCATAATTATAATTATATTATATATTATTAAATATCTAAATATTATATTATTTTATTATAATGCTACAATATTCATTTTATAATATTAAATATCTAAATATTATAATATTTTATAATATTATTGCAGAACTAAAACATTAAATTAAATAAAAATAAGCACAAGATTATCAGCATTTACTAGGGATGTAACGATTCACTCAACTCACAATTCGATTCACGAATTTCTTTTTTTTTACAAAATGAGATTTAAGACAAATTATAAATAAATGCGTCCTTTTATTATTGCTTGGACAAAATGCTGCATGTTTCTTTGTGAAATTGAAATATAACACTATAATTATATACTAATATAGCACTTGCATATTACTGCTCTTTTGTTGGTTTTGATTGCTTCTATTGTCCTCATTTGTAAGTG